AGAGAGAGAGCAGAGTCTTACCTCGGAAAGGAAGGTCTGTGCTGATTTCTGGGCCCCAACATGCAACAAGTACTCGTACACGTATAAAGCTAATCTAGAAGAGAACAAGAGAGGAACAGGCGTTATATTCAGGGCATGAGAAGGAAATTCCAGATTTCTCTGCAAGTAAGCAAAAATAACAACTTCAAGATGACAAGAAGAAATTTTTATATAAACTGTAAACATTTTCATTCAATAATAAAAAATTTACATAAAATAGTAAAATAGTTTATACTGTGTGCTGTCTTTTTGTTTATTTGAATATTGCATCATTATCCTTGAAACACACCAACATCAAACATCAACATCAAGTCAAGCTCTGTCTGCTGATCGCTATGTATTTTGCTGCCTATGTACAGTGTCAAAATCAGGTTAGAATGCTGCCTAAGAAGGTAGCTGCTTATGTAGACAGCTAGCGAGGTTTTAGAACAGAGATATAGACTTTCATTCCCAGTTGTGTGCCATCGCTCTAGTTTGGATGTTGTTCAAAAGTTTCAGAAAGAAAATCAGTGGCTACAGACAACTCACTAGAGATTGTTGATTACACAAGTACACATGAACACACAAAACACCCATCAACGGCAGCGACCGAATGTCCGATCTCCACAGCCCATTTGCGCCGTGAAAAGAACAGAAAGATCAGCCAAAGCATGCATAGCTGGAGTTGTCACGGCAATCTGACGGCACCATCGTGGCTCTTGTGTTTTTGTCATTTTCTGTATCCATTATGTCTGTTGTTTAGCCGCTTGGGCTAGCAATTACCCAGCTCCCAGTGTACCGCGGGGCTGAAACTGTACCATCCCTCTGCTCCTATCCTTTCCTTTTCTCTTCCATCAGCCATGAGAGAAAATAGCCCTGCAAAGCTCTCCTGGCAAAATTACATTCAGAGACAGGCACAATTTGGTAGAAACATGGTTTTTGCCTGGCTGCAGTGTATTGGGGCAAGAACATTTATTTCCAACATGGGTAAGGCAATAATGGCATACAAAAGAGTGGCTCTTCCATGACGACGTGTGTTGACATCCAAATCTGAGGTCGCAACAAAGAAATAGGCTAGTTTGGTCATTTTATGTAAAATTAAACACAGACTTAAAGTGATAGTTCCTAACCTATTTCCTCATCCTCATGTTCCAATGACATTTTAGAAAATTTGGTTGGAATGGTGCTTTTTGTTCATACAATGAAAGTCAATATGGTCCAGTGTTGTTTTGGACCTCAGTGACTTTCAGTGTACGAATAAAAACAGCTGAAAGGTTATTAGAGGTTGACAGATTATCGGCCTGACCAATTATTGGTGCTGATATAGGCTAAAGAATTTTTATGGTTATCGTATTGGTCATTTTCAAAATCGATTTGCCAATAAAATAATTTATAAGCATTTAAGGAAAGTTTTTGTCAGAGCCCTTGTTATTCTTAATTTTGACATCTATTTTTTACACAAGACATATCGGTTCAAAATATTGGTTATCGGTCTACTTGATCAGTAATAGTAATCGATATCAGCATCAGCCCTGAAAAATACATATCGGTCGAACCCTATTACAGATTTGAGGACGAGTAACATAAAATGTTTCGACCTTTTCCACTTTTAAGACTAGATACACTAAAACTGAGAACAGAAAATGGGAAACAGAAAATGTTGTGAGCCAAATTCGAACTAGTGTTACCCACATGAGTACTACAACTCAATGTTCTGGAGCATAACCATGTGCTAACCAATAACCACCATTTAAATACCATATAAAAACCACTGACAATCTTGAAATCTGTATGATGCAGGATTATTACTGTTAACTACAACTACTAAACTGAACATTTGAACTGAAATAAAACTGAAACAAAAGAAAAAAAAAATATTAAGATGGAAAACTTAAACGAAACAAATTTTGTAGAATTTCGTGAAAAAATATATATATAAAAATAAACCCAAGTAGTAATTTAAAAAAAAGGACAAACACACATAATACAATATCTAAAAATGAAAAATGAAAATACAAAAATAAAAGCCAATTTAAAATATTAATAAAAACTAAACTATAACAATATATAAATAAAACTAAGATAACATTGTTCTGATGGAACCTTCTCTCCAACGCACGTACAGTGGGCAGAAGCATGTATTTGTGTGGGAGCAGGAAGCTTTCCCAGGCATCAGCGAGGAGGTGAATGAGTCAGTGGAAGGAGGTGCCCAGGGTGGCAGGCTCATAAATAGCAGAGGAGAGCTCCCTCTGATCAGCCAGTCAATGACTGTGATAAAGTTGGATATGAAAGACAGGGAGGAGATCTAGCACTCCATCACTGCACAAACACTGACGCGTTGGCGCGGGAGAGTGACCAGAATGACAATGCCTCCCACCGAGAGACAGTGGTGGATAGAGTCAACGACGACCATAAAACTGTGGATGAGAGGTTCAAACAAAGTCCATCTAAATGGTACTATATTACCACAAAGGACCTACGGAATAAGCAACTTCAGCAAGTCAGCAATATCTAAGGTTTTAAACTTAAGCAGCATTTCAGTTCACAAACAGAAGCAGAAGTGGGCGATATGGCAAAAAAAGGTAGAATCATGATCTTATCACAATTCTTTTCACGTTGGTTTTTAAAGGGATAGTTCACCCAAAAATTTACATTCTCTCATTGTTTACTCACCCTCCTGTCAACCTTTCAATGTTTTGATGTAAATAACAGCCTAAATTTAATCTGTTCACCATATAAAGCTACCACATCTCTTCACAAGACTTGCATTAAACTGATCGATTCATATGGATTCGCTTTATGACACCTTTATAACCTTTTTGGCTCCTCCATGTTTTGGTTACCTGGACTTTTAATGGAGGGCCAGAAACCTTGCAGGTTTCATTAAAAAAATCTCAATTTGTGTTTTGAGGATTAATGGTTCTGTAACGACATCGAGGGCGAGTAAACAATGACAGAATTTTCATTTTTGGGTGAACTATCCCTTTAAGACTGAGCCTAACTAAATTCTCTCAAAAATATATAGCCCTACAAGGTAACAAAAGAATGACAGAACATGTACATCCAGAATAACAGGTCAGAAAGTCCAGGTTTCGTTACAAAAACTAGAGGGAGAAAGTATTAAACAGCTTCAAAGAAGACATTGGCCCTAATGTGTTAGTTTTCGGAATTGTGGCATAATTATTTATTTACCAAAAGCCATTTAGTGAATATCACTATACATTTCAAAGCCTTGCGTTTGAACGGCCCCCATGACACTCATACAAGCTCTGTTAAAGAGCTTAGTCAGGAAAAATGCCATATTTAATTTTACATTAATGAAAACGAGGCTGTTAGGGTATAGTCCGTTCAGATGTTCCGTCTGTTCAATCAATAGTCACATCTTTTTTCCCCTAGAAATTTTCAGAAAAAGGTATTTGCAATATAAACAAAGCACACAAATAATTGAACATACAGTACATCTGTCCCTCACAGCCATTTTTATATTAACACATTAATTCATATTAACATACTCTAAAGTCCATAGCTCCTATACTCTCTGTAAGTATAAACAAAACATACCGGATACATTCTACCATGGCATTTTGTCTGTAGAAGTGCACAAAATAAACTACATGAGACTTGTCATTTGGGGCAAATCACAAATTATTTTGTGTTCCAAAGTAAAAACCACAGTAGCATGTCTCTGATTGATTTACTCATGACCAATTTAGTCAAGACAACTGTTCCAATTTGCTAGTCACTTATCTCACTACCTGTCTCACCATAAACAAGGGTTTAGGAACGCCAATGGAGTTTGACCTCTGGGCTTTAAGAAAACATCTAGCAGCTGTCATCTGCTTAAATATGAGGGAAGCACGAGACGATCTGGATCAAACTGTGGATTCCCAGGAGTGGGCTGATAAAAATTTCATGGCAGGGAGGCCCATGTGATCTGGGTGGAGGGGTGTACTGTGCACTTTGGTACAGGGTACCAGCACCTGGCCCTGATGCATTATTGAACACCGTTCATTCAATTGCGCCTTCAAGGAGCACCTTTTGTAGAGTTGTCAGGAACATTGAGTGCGAGAGCCAAGAACAGGACCTCTGGATTCCGAAGGTCCCATTTGGAAGCCCAAACACTTAAAGACATCACAGAGGGATGGGAACAGGGAACTACAGCTGATGGGACAAGACCCTGAGGTGCGGGCAAGAAGAAACGTCTGGCCTGGCTACGAGAGCAGACACTACAAGCAATGCTGGGATACGGCCAAAATAAATTAGATCAAGTTCATTAGACAAGTTAATCACAGCAATTTCAGCTGGATAACAACAAGTACAGAACTAGCAACAACCTCAATACATAATCATGTAAATATCGGGATAATTGAGACCAAAGTAGTATTTGAACATTATAATAGATTTTTAATAGACCCTTAAAGGGATACTCCACCACAAAATGAAAATGTTGTCATTAATCACTTACCCCCATGCCGTTCCAAACCCGTAAAAGCTTCGTTCGTCTTCAGAACACAATTTAAGATATTTTGGATGAAAACTGGGAGGCTTGTGACTGTCCTATTGACTGCCAAGTAAATTGCACTGTCAAGGTCCAGAAAAGTATGAAAGACATCGTCAGAATAGTCCATCTGCCATCTGTGGTTCAATCTGAATTTTATGAAGCGACGAGAATAATTTTTGTACGCGAAGAAAACAAAAATAATGACTTTATTCAACAATTAGTCTCCTCTGTGTCTCTCCACATCACCATAGAGCCATTTTGGAGAATATCTGCTGGACGCAAGCGTACGCTCTTGGATGTGCTGTTTTCGTTCAAATCAAAGCGTAAATACACATAGAAAACGTATCCTTGTGTAGCGGCTGACACAGAATAGCATACGCAGTTTGAGTTCAGCGGATGTTCTCCAAAATGGTGCTACGGTGACGCGGAGAGACACAGAGGAGACAAATTGTTGAATAAAGTCTTTTTTTTTTATTCCGTGTACAAAAAGTATTCTCGTCGCTTCATAAAATTCAGATGGCAGATGGACTATTCTGACGATGTCTTTCATACTATTCTGGACCTTGACAGTGCAA